TCCTGTCTCTGGGCTTTACTACATTGTGTGTTGTGTTAAAGGGGAGGATCCAGTATGCCAACCCCATCCTGTCCTGGCTGACCCAGGACCAGCACTATGGGGAGGGATTTTACTCTGCGCAGGTATGCTCACCTTGAAGCCAGGTGTGGACTACAGGTGTTAGTGTCTCCTAGTCTTCATGGTGACCTCTGACCTCTCTCAGGACACAGCTTTGACTCTGGAGGCGTTGAGGGAGTACAGCAAGGTGGTGTCTCGAGCCGTCCTCAACCAGGACATCAACATCCGCTACAGCTTGAAGGGTTCACTGGACCGAGTCCAACTGAGCCAGAGCCGACCCGTGGCCACGCCCATCCAGGTGAGACAGACACGGGAGACAGGTAAGTCCAGTACAGCTGCTGCTCTGCTGTTTATTAATACGTTTTCTTTCACAGGTAACAAAGAATGATGACATCACCGTGTCCACAGGTTATGGGAGGGGCGTGTCCAATGTGAAGGTGGGTGTGGTCTTATGATGTCATTCATGGATGTTTACCTGAAACTTCCCAGAATTCCTTTTTACCTGCTCTGACTGTGTTTTCAGATGAAGACGGTTTTCTACCAGACCACGGCGTCCACACAGGCCAGGTGTAACTTTGACACCACCATAGAGGTGGCCGGCCCCGGCATCTCCGACAGTAAGTACCAGCACACCTGGATGTCTGAAGGACAGGTGTGCCTGAGCGAACTACATGATGATTTATTAAGTGAAAGATCGACAGAGGACTTCTTACTGCAGCTTCTGATCTTGCACTTCTTTAGCTCTGCACCACACCCCAGACTTCTTCACCTTAATATCTGCTTCTGGACCCCCACCTCGACCCAGAACCTGTTCACTAGGGCTCTGCATCTCTACCTTAAGATACGAATCCAGATACGTGGGTTACCATACAGTCCATTAACAGTACATTTTAATACATTACGATGCGATGAATCTTTGTGTGGTGAAAATAATGAAAGAGAATCGTATCGGGTCAGAACAACGTCATTGTGTTTATTTATGACACACAGACCAGACAGACTGCTGTGAATTAAATATGAGAACACATGAACATGAACCCTTCAGTTTAGTGCAACACATAAACTTAAAACTGAAAACATACACCATGACCTCTGTTCTGATGATTTTATCAACCCAAACTAACCTTCAGCTTACCTAGAACCTTTGCCTGACCTAGAACCTTCACCTGACCTAGAACCTTCGCCT